AGCCAAACCGTACGGCTAAAAATAAAATTTAAATGCCCAGCTGGCGTGGCTCAGTGGTTGAACGTCAACCAATGAATCAGGAGGTCACGGCTCAATTCCCAGTCAGGGCACATGGGATGTTTCTATCTCTCTCCCCATCTCTGTTCCTCTCTGAAATCAATAAAATTTAAAGATAAGTAGAATGATAACAAACGATTAATGGGAAAAATAGGAGTGGGGTGCTTAAGTTGTGCGACCTTCAGGGTCCTTGTCCTCAAGAAATTTACCGTCTGGGGCAGGGGGTGAGGCCTCATATAGTGAAAATGCTATCCTGGGGCTGTAAACAGAATATCAAGGGAGGGAGACCAAGTGTGCTGTGGGCATGAGAACTGTTCCATGGCCGAGCTGGCCCCGGGGAAGGTCAGTTGGCATCGGAGAGCCAATGAGACGGATAGAAACGCTGGAGCCCAGGGACCAGCCTGCACAGAGACATGGGACGGAGGCCAGGTTCCAGGAAAGCCAGCTCTTCCTGGCGCCCAGGCCAAGGCTGCGGGCACAGCCAGGAAGGCGGGTTGGCCGGACGGTAGCCGCCACCTCCCAGGAGCAGCGATCCCTCTACAGCCTTGCGGCTCAGCTGCCAAGGCCGGTCCTCCCGGGGAGCCAGGACTGGTATTCTTTGTTAAGGATCAGCGTTGAATTAGCATAGGAGTAGCCCTGGCTCCGGTCAGAGGGACTGGCAGGCTCACCATGTGCCCGAGAGCAGAGGTGCCCGGTTCCTGTGGAGACACCGCGGCCCATAACTCACCCAAGCTCCACGCGTGGCGACGCTGTCCCGTCAGTTAAGCCCTGCTCGTGGCTGGGATTAGCGCTAAATGAATGCAGCTCCGATGAAAGCGATGCTGACCCCTCTCCCCCTGGTCTTGTTATCTTGATGGGCAGCGTGGGCAGGACTATGGAGGCTGCATTGATGGCTGCTCTATATATTTTTAGTGATTTCAGAGAGGAAGGGGGAGGGAGAGAAAAACAAACATCCATGATGAGAGAGAATCATGGATCGGCTGCCTCCTGCACAACCCACATTTGGGATCAAGCCATTACCCAGGCATGTACCCCGACCTCCTGGTTCATAGGATGACATTCAGTCACTGAGCCCCGCCGGCCTGGGTAAAAGTCACCATTTTACGTGTACAGTTTAGCGGCGTTAAGTACTCCTTTCTGTCTGATACCAACACCCCCTCCCTCCACTCTGCGCCGTAGACCCCTAATGCCCACTTCCGCAGTAGCCTGCAGGGATTTTCAAGGTAAAGAGATGTTTTTTGCAGTGTTTATGTACTTTTAAAAAATTATTATTGTTTAAATCAGCGGCGCCAACCTTTCAGACCTTACGGACCACCAGTTGTCCACGGACCACCAGTTGTCCACGGACCACCGGTTGTTCACGGACCACCAGTTGGCAACCGCTGGTTTAAAGTATTACATGAGTCTCCTTTCCCCCCCATTGACCTCTCTCTGGCCACTCCCATCCCCAGCACATGCCCTCACCCCCCTGCTGTCTGTGTGCATTGGCTGTGCTCATATGCATGCATACAAGTCCTTTGGTTGGTCTCCTACCCCCTAGCTGTACCACTGTTTTTTAAATACACTGATCTGCTGATGGGCACTTAGGCTGTTTCCAAATCTTAGCCATTGTAAATTGTGCTGCTATGGCCATAGGGGTGCATATATCGTTTCTGAATGGCGTTTCTGGTTTCTTGGGATATATTCCTAGAAGTCCGATTACTGGGTCGAATGGGAGTTCCATTTTGAACTTTTTGAGGAAACTCCACACTGTTCTCCACAGTGGCTGCACCAGTCTGCGTTCCCACCAGCAGTGCACGACGGTTCCTTTTTCTCTGCATCCTCGCCAGCACTTGCTGTTGTTGATTTATTGGCGGTTGTTTATGTGCTCTGAACCATGGGGCGTGTATAAGAGGCGCTGCCGCTGTCATCAGCTTGCTTTATGGGCCACTGGTGACGGTTTTGAGTGTTGTCTCTAGCCCCTTTCCCCCGGGAGCCTGGGGACTTATTGTAAGTTTGCATCGCATGGTGATAATTTAGGAAGGAATCCATATGTCACCCGATGGCAGAACTAACAGCATCAGTAATTGTTCATGCTGCTTCATCATTGTCGTTTAAATACATGGTTTGGGGCCCTGACCGGTTTGGCTCAGCGGATAGGGCTCTCTTTCAACTCTTATTACCACAAATTCAAGGTCAAGACACCGAGTTGAGCGTCTGCATTTGGGGGCCAGCGCAGAGCCACCTGTAAATACGGTAGGAGTGAAACCAGAACGCGTTATGTTATTCTCAGCCGACGTGCTTGCTCCCGGGGCTCTGTAAGGATTTTTCTGGCTGGTTACCCGAGATGAGGATCCGTTCTGATGCTTGGGTTTCAAACAGTAGCTGCAAAACCGCCAGCGACTTGGGGGCCAACTTAGTTTCTTTCCTGCAAATAGTATCAGAACATGTGTATCCGACAGTCACTTAAAACCCTCCTTTGGGAAATCAGCGTTTCTCTTCTCTCTCCTTCTAGAACAGAGGCCAGCAAACGATGGCACGTGGACTGCAAGGCCTAAAGGAAGAGTTTCCGAAGCCCTGTTGCAGGGTATAAAACACGGCGGTGGTTCTGTGTCAACAAAGCGTTAATCGACATGAGGTTGGAAGGGGCCGGCTTCAGGAGGTCAGTGAACCCCCTGACACTGGGTACAAAACTTGATCGGTGATGCAAAGGTGCCTTTTTGGAAGGCGAGGAATCGGAGCTGTCATCAGCCGCTCGCGGGGGTCCATGACCTCAAAGCAGGGAAGCCGCCGCGGGGTGTAGGAAACGCAATACAAGGGATAGATAGTCGGCGAGAACAGTGCTTTACGCACCAGAAAATACCATCAACCGCTGTGTCCAGGGAGCCAGAGGGTCAAAGGGTCTAAGCAGCAGGCGCATGACAATAGGGCTCAAGTTCTAAAGACCCGTGTGCAATGCCTCGAGCTTAGAGAGCTGTGCTTCCATTCTCCCTTCCTCTCCATAGGATCATGGGAAACCACCTTGACCTTCTCTTGGGAGTGGTGCTCCTGGCTAGCCCTGCGCTTGGAATGTCTCCCTGCTCCTCGGACGGCCGCATCGCCTTGTATCATTTCTGTAACCTCACCCGGGTCCCCCAGGTTCCCAGCACCACTCAGCGCCTCCTGCTAAGCTTCAACTATATCCAGAACGTCACAGCCGCGTCCTTCCCCTTCCTGGAGCGGCTGGAGCTGCTGGAGCTTGGGACTCAGTTTACCTCCTTCACCGTTGACCAAGAAGCCTTCAGGAACCTGCCCAATCTCAGGATCTTGGACTTGGGCAAAAGTAGGATAGGCTTCTTGCATCCGGATGCCTTCCAAGGGCTGCCCCGTCTGTTTGAACTCCGACTCTTTTACTGTGGTCTCTCCGATGCTGTGTTAAAAGACGGTTATTTCAGAAACTTGCCGTCTTTGAATCGCCTGGACCTGTCCAAGAACGAGATCCATAGCCTCTCCCTTCACCCTTCGTTCCGGGAATTAAATTCCTTGAAGTCCATTGACTTCTCCCTCAACGACATACCCATCGTATGTGAGCATGACCTCCAGCCCCTCCAAGGGAAAGAATTCGCCTTTGTAGGGCTTGCTGCCAATAACCTGTACTCCAGGGTCTCCGTGGACTGGGGGAAGTGCGGGAACCCATTCGGAAACATGGTCCTAGACACCCTAGATGTTTCTAAGAACGGCTGGACCGTGGACATCATCAGAAACTTTGCCAGCGCCATCAACGGCACCCAGGTCCTCTCTTTGGTTCTCGCCCGTCACATTATGGGTCCTGGGTTTGGCTTCCAAAACATCAAAGATCCTGACCGGCACACCTTCGCCGGCCTGGCCCGAAGTTCGCTGAGACACCTGGACCTTTCCCATGGCTCCATCTTCTCCCTGGGTTTCCGCCTCTTTGAAGCCCTCCGGGAGTTGAAGGTCCTGAACGTTGCCCACAACAAGATAAACACGATTGCACGGGGGGCGTTTTATGGGCTCGACAACCTCCAAGTTCTCAATATGTCCTTTAACCTCCTGGGGGAACTGTACAATCCCAACTTCTACGGGCTACCTAACGTCGCCTATATCGATCTGCAAAAGAATCACATAGGGATCATTCAGGACGAGACGTTCCGGTCCCTGCAGAGACTGCAGACCCTGGACCTGCGGGACAACGCGCTGAAAACGATTCACTTCATCCCAAGCATCCCTACCCTCTTCTTGGGTGGCAACAAACTGGCGACGTTGCCCAACACCAGATTCACAGCCAACTTCGTCCAGTTGTCGGAGAACAGGCTGGAAAGGGTGGATGAGCTCTACTTCCTTTTCCAGATCCCTCACCTCCAGGTTCTCGTTTTAAATCAAAACCGCCTTTCCTTGTGTGCCCCGTCGCCGTCTCGTGGCCCTTCCGGGAACCTTAGCTTAGAGCAGCTTTTCCTCGGAGAGAACATGCTGCAGCTCGCCTGGGAGACCGGGTCCTGCTGGGATATCTTCAAGGGCCTGGCCCGCCTCCGACTCCTCTACTTGAACGACAACTACCTGAATTTCCTCCCGCCAGGCGTGTTGAGCCATCTGGTTGCCTTAAGGTTCCTTAGCCTCAATGGCAACAGGCTGACCGCTCTCTCTCCCGGTGACTTCCCCCCTCGCTTAGAGGTGCTGGACGTGTCCAGGAACCAGCTCCTCTCCCCCGACCCCGAGGTCTTCGCAGCCCTCAGTGTCCTGGACGTCACTCACAACAAGTTCATCTGCGAGTGTGAACTTGGCCCTTTCATCAGGTGGCTCAATCAAACCAACGTCACCCTATTTGGGGCTCCTGCGGACATGTCCTGCTCGTACCCCAGCTCCCTGCTCGGCGTGTCCCTCTACTCCCTGACCATGGAGGGTTGCGACGAAGAGGAGAGACTCACGGCCCTCAAGTTCGCCCTTTTCGTCTTGTTCACCGTCGCGGTGACGCTGTGGCTCGTGACCGTCCTCATCGTCACCAAGTTCCGGGGGTCTTGCTTCCTCTGTTACCAGACGGTCCAGGGGCTTGTGTTCGAGGACCACGCCAAGGCCGGAGAGCCCGACACGTACAAGTACGACGCCTACCTGTGCTTCAGTAGCAAAGACTTCGAGTGGGTCCAGAACGCGTTGCTGGCACAGCTGGACACTCAGTACAGCGCCCAGAACAGGCTCCGCCTGTGCTTCGAAGAGAGAGACTTCATGCCGGGGGAGGACGTCCTGGCCAACATCCACGACGCCGTGTGGAGCAGCAGGAAGGTCGTCTGTCTTGTGAGCAGACACTTCCTGAGAGACGGGTGGTGCCTGGAGGCCTTCCGCTGCGCCCAGAGCAGGAGCCTGGAGGACCTCACCGGCGCGCTCATCGTGGTGGTGGTCGGGTCCCTGTCCCAGTTCCAGCTCATGAAGCAGGAGTCCCTGCGAGCCTTCGTGCAGAAGCAGCAGTACCTGAGGTGGCCCGAGGACCTCCAGGATGTCGGCTGGTTTCTTAACAAACTCTCCCAACACATCCTTCAAAAGGAGAAGAGGAAAGACGGCGGCCGAGACGGCGACATTCCGCTGCAGAGGATAGCCACCCTCTCCTAGGCCCAGGCCCCTTCGACTGCCCTGGCAGATCGCTCTTCACCTTGTGTTTGCACCGCGTCTCCACGGGGGGTCCTTTTTGAGGTTCCTTTTCCCGACGCTAAAAAAAACACAAAGCTCTTGATTTTCGTAGCAACACGAACTGCAAATGGAAAGGTGCAGATCTAGAAGCTTCCAGCTGCCCCCAGAGGTCCCCGCCCTCCACCGATGTCCTGTCGGACTCAGTAATACCGTTCTCTCCTGTTGCATCAACCGCAAGGTATTTCCTAGTCGTGGGAAGGACGCCTTGAGGGAAGTGACAGCTGACGGACGCCCTTCCTCCAGCGTTCAGTTCCAGGAGGGGCCGGCCAAGGGTTCGGAGCCCTCTGTGCTCTGCGGGACAACGCGAAGTAGAAAAGAAACAGAAGCAGAGGCGCGTTGCCTGCTTCCACCGTGCGAACAGCGCCCTTGCTGGGTCAAGGTCAGGCTCTGTCTCGGGGAGACGTGGCCCCAAAGAAGCCGGGATGAGAATAACTAGAGGTCCTGTGGCCACAGCTCTCTTCCTGTCCTTACCTTCAGCTCCTCCAGGCAGAACGCAGGCCTGGAACTTCCTATTGGCAGGTGAGCTTTATTCCCTGATTTAGCGCCTGCCTATCTGAGCTCGATATGTATATTCTGTATCGGCCATTCAAGCTGTGGCGGGAGGAACTTGGCCGTTGGTCACAGATCCTGGCTTGAGTTCTGATGCTGCTTCGCATGAGCTCTGTGACCTTGAGCATGTCACACGCCCTTGATGGGCCTCGGTTTTTCACCTGTAGCCTGATCGTGTCTACCTCATCGAGTTGCCAGGACACTAAATGGGCTGAGGAAGTTGGGCTTCTCAGATCTAGTTGCCCCAGTGGCCACAACAAGAGGGTGCAAACCAGGGGTCCTCAAACTTTTTAAACAGGGGGGGCCAGTTCACTGTCCCTCAGACCGCCAGAGGGCCGGACTATAGTTTAAAAAAAAAACTATGAACAAAGTCCTATGCATACTGCACATATCTTATTTTGAAGTAAAAAAACAAAACGGGAACAAATACAGTATTTGTATTTGCATGTGGCCTGCGGGCCGTAGTTTGAGGACCCCTGGTGCAAACACTGAGGGCCTCTTAGATGGAATCAGAATGTGTTTGAAGTTGTTGTTTTTTTGACATACAAGTTTTATTTTTCATGTTTGTGTTAATATAGAAATGTTTTTCTGAAAGTATTAAGAAAAATCGAAAGCAAGCCAGGTTCGCCAACATTACCCGTGGCTTCCCAGTCCAGCAGGTCCCCAGGTCAGCTGCTGCTGTCTGAGGAGCACACAGAGGCCTGGGACTCGGCCCTCCAGGACGCCGCTCCCTCGTCCTCACTGTGCACCCCGAATCCTGACCCCTCCAACACAGACACTCACACACACCCGGACTAGCTGTTCTCTTCCTGGTTTCTCTGGGCCACTCTGATCCAGGAAACTGAGCTTGCCATGCACTTGATGTTCTTATATTTGGACAATGACTCTGCCCATTAGCACCATTCATCATCGCAGTGCACACACACCCTATTCTACTATTCTACCCTTCCTTCTGGAATGTTTCCATCTCTGCACACACACACCCTATTCTATTCTACCTTTCCTTCTGGAATGTTCTCCCATCTCTGCACATAGCAGCACACACACCCCCTATTCTATTCTACCTTTCCTTCTGGAATGTTCTCCCATCTCTGCACATCCATCCTACCTGTTCTGCAAAACCCAGCCCACCAAGCCTCCTGGGATGCCTCCAACCCAAAGGCCTCTCTTCCTTCTGTGCAAACGCTTAGCACCCTACCTGCCCCGTCCTTCTGTGTCCCCTCCCCAGCAGTTGTGATGCTTTCTGAGGCCACTTTCCAAGCCCCACTTCACAGGAGTCGCTGCACAGAGGGCCACAGCGAAGGTGAGCCGTGCCGCGTGGAGATGTGGGTGCCAGCTGGCCAGCGGAGATGCTACTTGCTAAGCCCGTGGTCAGCAAACCGCGGCTCGCCAGCCACATGCGGTTCTTTGGCCCCTGGAGTGTGGCTCTTCCACAAAATAACACGTGCAGGCGCACACGTACAGTGCAATTGAAACTTCGTGGCCCATGCGCAGAAGTTGGTATTTTGTGGAAGAGCCGGTATTTTGTGGAAGAGCCACACTCAAGGGGCCAAAGAGCCGCATGTGGCTCGCGAGCCGCAGTTTGTGGGGCTGCTGTAAACTTAACTGCTCCTGAATTCCACTTACCAACACTTCCAAGTGGGTAAGTTGATAAACCCCACAGAGCGCGGTCCTTTGGCGTCGCTGCTAAATAGGAGGAACCACCGCAGTTCAGCCCACGCGTGGCGAGCGCTGGCTGTGTTTGAAATGGAGACGCTTCTGGAAAATCTAGAATGTTGTTTGGGGCTGCTGTAAACTTCAGAGAGAATCCCGCTCATCACCCCAAAATACAGCTGACTCTGACCATTTCTTGTCGACCATTTGAACCCGCAGGGACTGGTATTCCAGACGGCCGGAGAGAAAGGAAAGTAAACGTGGTTGGACGTTTGAAATGATGAAATAACTCTCTTTGGAGGAAGGAGAAGATGAAGCCCAGGTGTCAGGTAGATAAATGCTCGCCTGCCACAAGACAAAATCAACTTATTTTT